TTTCTTTGTTGCTGAATTATGTTTTTCAGTTTTTATACTTGTTCTGGGAAAGCGACGTGTTTTTGAAATCTTCTAGTTTTTGAAATCTTCTACCTCTAACAATACCTTTCACACATAGGTGTTGCTTAACTGGTTTGTATTTTCATTGTGGGATCATGAAAAATACTTTCACTGCCCTAAAAAGCCTCTATGCTCCATGTGTTCATCCTTCTATCCCCCTTAATCCTCAGGAATCACAGTGTTTTTTACTGTTTCCATAATTTTACTTTTTCCAAATGTCATATGGTTACAACCATATACTATATAAGAAGCCTTGTCAGATGGGCTTCTTTTATTTAGTAATATGCATTTAAGATTTTCCTATGTCTTTCCATGGCCCAATAGTTCATGGCCCAATAGAACTGAATATTCAATTGTTTAAATGTACCACAGTTGCTTACATACTCATGTACCAAAGGGCACTTTGGTTGTTTCCAGATTTTGGCAATTATTAATAAAGCCACTATATAAACTGCATTCAGGTTTTCTTGTGTGAACATCAGTTTTCCAGTTGGATAAATAATCAAACAGCCCAGTTGTTGAGCTGTATGATAGGAGTACAATGATGCCTTGGTTCACGAACCTAATGCTTTCTTAAATTCATGAACCAAGGTACCACTGCATGTTTAGCTTTGTAAGAGACTGCCAAACTGTCTTCCAAAGTAGCTGTGCCATTTTACATTCCCACCACCTATGAATGAGAGCTTTGTTGTTCCACGTTCTCTCCAGCATTTGGTGGTACTAGTGTTTTGGATTTCGGCCATTCTGATAGGTGTGTAGTGGTAACTCATTACTTTAATTTGCATTTCTCTCATGACGTGGATGTGGACTATCTTTTCACATGTTTATTTGCCATCCATATATCTTCTTTGGTGAGGTGTCTGTTGACATCTTTGGCAATTTTTTAAAAGTGGGTTATTTCCACAGTGTTGAATTTTAAGGTTTTTGTATATTTTGGGTAATGCTTCTTTATCAGATATTTTGTATGAAATAGTCCTTTGGTATATTTTCTCTCAGTCTGTGGCTTTTCCTTTCATTCTGTCTGACAGTGTCTTTCACAGGGCAGAAGATTTTAAGTTTATGAAGCCCATTATTTCATGGATTGTGTCCTTGGTGTTATATTTAAAAAATCATTATCAATCACAAGGATATCTGAATTTTTCCTGTTTTATCTTTTAGGAGTTTTATAGTTTTGTATTTTACATTTAGGTCTATGAACCATTTTAAATTCGTTTATGCAATGAATAGAAAGTCCACATCCAGATTTTTTAAAATTACATGTGAATGTCCAGTCATCCCAGTACCCCCTGTTGAAATAACTTTGTGCTACTCCTTTTTCTCTTTTGTCAAAGATCAGTTGACTATATTGATGGGGCCTTATTTCTGAGTTCTCTATTTTGTTCTACTGACCTTTTTGTCCATTTTGTCACAAGTACCATACTGATTTGATCATTGTAGCTTTACAGTAAGTCTTGAAGAAAGATAATATCAGTTCTCTGACTTGGTTCTTTTCCTTCAATATTATGTTAGTGGGCTGGGAATATAGCTCTGTGGCACAAGTGTTTGCCTGGCAAGTGCAAGATCCTGAGTTTGATTCCTGGTACCAAAAAAAAAAAAAAAATGTTGACTACTCTGGATCTTTTGCTTCTCTATATGAACCTCAAAATCAGTTCATCTGTATCCAGAAAATAACTTTCTGGGATATTAATAGGTATTGTATTCAATCTATAGATCAATTTATGAAGAATTCGCATCTTCACAATATTGTCTCCTTACCCATGAACATCAAGCTCTTTTAATCATTATATTTTCTTATTCCTATTTTTGGAATTCTGGGAAAATGTCTCAGATATCCTTCACATCACTGATTCTATTTTGTTCATGTCAAATCCCCCTTTCTTTTTCTTTGTTTTTGTTGTTCATTTGCATGTTTATTTTATATTCGGTGGTCAGGCTTCGCAGTTCACGCCTCAGAGAAGAAGGGCAAGAAAAGGAGCAGGAAAAGGGCAAGGAAAGTCTCTGCGGAACTCACCCTGTTTTCCCTTTTCCTCAAAGAGACTCTTCGCCCAGTACACGTTTAAGGTCACGTGTCACTTCCTCACTGGGTCGTCATCGTCCCATCGAGGGAGGAGAGCCAAATGGAGTTCTGGAATAGAGAGGAGAGAAGGGGATCAGCGGTTCTATCTCACACCAGCCACACCCATCCCCGCACGTACACACGCAGGCACAGAGGCCATCGGGGTGGGGTGGCACGGTGAGCACACATCACCCCAGCTCTTCACCCGCTCTCTATTTCTAATGAAGATTTCAGCTCTGCTCTGGCATTTCTAGTTTCTTCATTCTCTTTCTAAACTCTACTTTTCTCTTCAACCCTGAATCTTCTTCCTTTTCATATCTGTCCAATATTTCTTCTTCTCATTTTTTATCTCCTTTTTTCATAGAGTTGAGTTCTTAACCAATTTTGCATGCTTATGTCTGGTAATTGGAACAACTGATTTGAAGACCACAATGTGAACAACCATTGCTGAATTTCTATCATCTTGTTTAATGAAGCTCTGTATTGTTTCTAATTTTTTTATTACTTGTTATTATCTTTAATTGTTTGAACAATCTTGCATTCTTACATCTGGTAATCTGAGCAACTTTGTTGAAAATAACAATGTGTAATAGAACAACCATTGTTAATTCCTATCATCTTGTTTTGAAATCTTGTATTGCTTTTATTGTTTTTGTGTTGTTTTGTTTTTGTCTTCATTGCTGTTATTTTTTTTTCCTTCTTTCTTTAAAGTAGGGCCAGGGATATAGCTCAGTAGAACAGTACCTACCTGAGAAGCCCAAGGTCCTGAGTTTGATTCCCAGTACCAAAAATAAATAAATAATAAATTTGCATAAAACTATAAAGCAGTATTTCTCAACATTTCTTTTGTTTCCTGTACTCAGTGTTTGAGAAAAATACATTTGTCGTCTGCATCTTGGTTGTGGTACTTTATTTTGGTTTATGCTGTCTTTCTCAACTTCCTCCTGAGGGTACACCCATGAGACCTGGTGTTTGTTGGGCCATTGCAGCCAGTGAGTGGCTTGTCTGTAGGTCCCATCACATCTTCTCAGTAGCTGTGCAGCTCCTGCAGCCAGATCTTAAATTGGCAAGGTGACTGATAATTTACACAATCATTCAAAGTACATAGAGAGGTACAGCGATAAATGTTAGTAGAGAGGAAGTTGGTTAAGAAAGCTGTTTTCTACTTCTGTTTTCCTGTTAAGTCTGGTCATCATGCAGATTGAAATCCCAGCTTTCTCCCATGGTTGGATAATTGCCCACTGCTACGGTCAGAACGTGTCTTCAACATTCATGTTAATCCCCACTGTGACGGTAAGAAGAAGTATGGTCTTTGGTCACGTGGTTAACTCACGATGGTTCCATTTTTGTGAATGGAGGTGCAAACACCATTGTCCTTCTTATGGATGTTCCTGCCAGCGCAAATTGAGGATTTCTTGGCACCTCTGTGCCACTGCTGCCCTGTGGCTTGGAAGTTCACCCTCTCTTCTAACCCTTATTCCTCAAATTAAGGAACAGCAGTAGGGGCTGCAACTCTCTCCCACTCACTTCTCTACGTGGATGCTGGCTTTCAACATATCATCTTGTAATGTTTCCTTGGTTTTCTGGGTTTGAGTGGTTCTCTTTTGTACTGTCAGTGATTCTGCACATTTCCTATGTCCACTTCTAATATTCTGGTCATTTCAGTGTAAATCTTGAGATTTTAATGAATCAATAAGAAGGATCACACCATTATCTTACTCAGAACTGTTTGGCTTGTCCATCCATCTAGTTAGCTATCCAGGAGGGCCATATCTCAATAAGTCTGGGCCAAGTCACATCATCTTTTTGTTCACTTCTAACTCAGCTCAGTTGGTTTTGTCTACCTTTCCCACATTGAGAACCTGGCCTCATAGTTCTAGCTATTTTGGTCACCAGCATTTATCACTTTTTCATGTGCCTAAAGATTATCTCATACTATATTCCTGTAACATTGGCCAACCAAGAGGAACAAAATCAAATTCAGTTGAAGATGGCGATATGAGTGGACAAGAGACTAGAGAAGAAAAAGCACAGCATGAGCTGGAGTAAAACACTAGTCACCCTCCTAGCTCCATCACTCATAGGCTGGGCCACCTGGGAAATAGCCTTTCTATTGGAAGTCTTAGTTTTCTTGTTTTGTTAACAACAGTATTGAATCTGTGAGGTCTCTACTGTAGTTTTGGATTTTTCTGTGATCCAGGGTCTGCTGTGGAAAAGATAAGCGGAGGTGCAGCTCAGATTTTTGGTTAAAAAAGAAAGTTGGATGGTCATACTAGCTTGAGAAGGTCTCTAACGTCAGGTGAGAGTCAGTTTTGCAAACATGCAAGATATGCTGAAGACTTGGCTGAGAAAGGGGGAGAGGACCACAAGGGAGGCACAGGAGAATTGGATGAAAGATGGAGAAAGACAGAAAATAGGAAAATATGCAAGAGAAGGGGAGTGAGAGGGAAAAGGAATGAGTGTAGATAAGATGCTAAAGAATTGAAGGCAGGCAAGGGAAGGGCCCACGACTTCTGGTGTGGAAATGGACTGAAATGAGCTGGAATGACACCTGTATATAGAGGAATGTGAATCAGGAAGGGTGTCATTCCTTCTGACTACTGTCTGAGGTGACACAGAGAAGCACCAAAGATCTGACATACCCTCCTAATGGCTGCTGCCCACGCACATCGCCAATCCACCCTGAGTGTGCAGCAGGGAAATACTGATGCAGTGACATTCGGGCCCCACTAGGCGGCTGCGGGCCTCCTCTGAACTCCAGACTGAAAGGATTCCAGCCTATGTAACCAGAGACTATTTCCTATTTTCTTTGTTCCCTGGAGAAGATGGAATGGAATTGTGATGAAAGAGACTCTAAGTAGAATAAAGGGAACACACACGCAGGCTTCGTGGAAACAGTTGCTGTGTGGAAGACTGTAACCACCACAGAGGGGCTGAGGTTGGTCACCAGCATTTACCTGAAAGCCGTGGATGGGGTTGGAGGGTGATTATAAGCCTAGGGCTTGGGTCTATCTTTGGTTAGGGTTAGATTCAATGAATATTCCGTGTTAGGATCAATTGTGAGGTCAAGGTCAAGGTTTTGGTTTAGGGCAGGGCTAGAGTTATTCTTGTAGCTGGGAAACAGAATAACTAAAATACCATGTAAAAATGAATCCGTAATAATTTGAGCTATTCTCTAAGGGAAAACTTCGCAGTGATTCTCTAGAGAGGGTGAGCTTCTAGCATGACTTTGAAGGGGCAACCTGACAAGATAGCGTGAGGGTCTGAGGAGCTCGAGAGAATGGCTGGACGGAGTGAAACGTAAGAACAGTGAAAGAGTGTAAGAACAGCAAAGTCCCCAAACTATGGCACTTCTCATCAAGGACCAGTTTATCACCAGATGCAAGGTGATACCCTCCAGGGTGAAGGGGCAGATGGGAGACACCTGAGCTCCCAGGCTTTTTTGGAAGAGGACTCTCACTGGGTCTGGCCAAGGACACTTCTCCACACATTCCTGGCCCTGAGTGTCCCAGCCCTGTCTGCTCTTGGGACTGCCAGGGCAGGGGCTGGCGCCAGGCGGGGTGAACATGACCTGGAAATAGGGAGCGGCTGTGGAAACAATGCGCATCTGGCACACACCCACCAGCCACTCCCAAGCTGCACATGGGCTGGGCCATCCCTGAGGAAACTGGAGCCTTGGGACAAGGGGGCACAAGGAGCCTTTTCAACCCAGAGCCACCTTCTTCAGGAGGCCTCACCTAGTGTGGTCACCCAACCTGATACCTGCTGGAGACCCAGCTCCATCAAATGTGTGGTTTAGCTCTTTTTAGTGTGGTCTGTGGTATGAGTTGTTGCTCTGTCTTCTCAAATAATAGCCACTAAAAAGCATCGCGCTTACCGCTGACCTGTTCCTTGTATACTCCTGCACCTTCCAGCAGTTTCAGACCTCCAGGAGGGGATGGCTTCACCTCCCAATCACAGGTTCTTTAAAGATGGTCTTCCTTAGTTAGCATGTCACTTTCTGAGAGGCTCTTTCCCATTAATATGAGGAAGGGGCTTCCTGAGAAAATGCCTCCCCTAGAAATCTGGTAGTTCCCAAGGAAAAACCACACTTTCCATCAGTCTAAGGGCTGATCAGGAAATATTCTTCTTCTTATTCAGTGGGCCCCTGAGGGGAGCCCTCTTCAGAATAGGGCTCCCAAAGGTTCCCAAAGTGATGAGAGTCTTCTGAGGATCATCACCCTCAGCAGACTGGGCAACTTCTGCAAAATCCTGGACAAGAACAGTCAAGCAAAGTGGAGGTGCCAACCGAAGTCTGAGGCAGGCTTAAGCTGATGATTGTGATAGGCCTTCAGTTCACGCCCACGCAGATTTTAAAAAGAAGTGATGACAGACACAATAGTGTGTAGCTGGTTATTACGGGAGCTGTGATACCTGCTGGTGGTGGCGGTGACTGCGATGGTCTGAAGGTAGTGATGATGATGGTACGGGTGATGGCAATTTTGCTGTTGGTAGTGGTAGTAATGGGACCAGATTACAGTGATGGTGGAAGCAGAGCAACGATGGTGGTGTAGAGAGCCAGAGAGATGATTTTGATGGTGGTCATTGCTGAGGGAAGGACACAGTGGTGGATGAGGTGGTGATGGAAGTGCTGCATGCTACATATGCATCACCTGCTAGAGAACTGTCTTAAGAGGAAGGGTCCTGGGGTAAAGGGAGCAGAGAGCTGGGAGAAGAAGGAGATACTTACTCGCAATAGCTCGAGGGAGGATCTAAACTGCAGTCATAGAAACATAAGCAAAGTGGTTCAAGTTAGATCCAAACCTGTGACACCAATTACAGAATCCAAAGCTGTGGAACTTGTGTATCTCAAGAAGTGAGTGAGGGACAAACCATGCAGAGGCTATGAGGGGAAAGACTTGCTTTTACAGAGGCCCTGGCAAGGATGGGTCTGACGGTGTTGACACAGAATAGGAAAGAAGATGGAGACCTCAGCTTACATGTCCCCAGAAAGGCCTGGGGAAGCTGGAGTCTCCTGGTCTGGATAGGGAAGAGCTGATGGTATACCCATGAGCATCTCTCATCCTTTGAGCTTTGTTTCCAGTTTGGGAGTGGGTCCAGCTGAGTGTAGTAATGCATGCCTATAATCCCAGCACTCGGGAGGTTGAGATAGGAGGATCCTTGTGAGTCTAAGCCTAGCCTGAACTTCATAGCAAAACCCTGTTTTAAAGAAACCAAAAACAAACAGATCCAGTTTTGGGGTTGAGGGCACATAGTAGGGCTGTAGATGGATGTCAGAATCAGCAGGTGAATGTTAAAAATGCAAACACATCTCTTCACCACATATCCTGGGGATTCTGATTCAGCTTGTCCAGGGTGAGGCCTGCACATTGGTATTTTTAATAGGCTCCCAGGGTGATTTTGATATAAAAATATTTCTCTCCCCCTTCATTTTCTCACACATAAACACCAAGATGACCAGATACTATATTCAGCAGCCCCATCTCTGCCCTTGTGCCTGGGGTATTTATAGTAGAAGGCAGTAATATATCCTCATCATCACATCCTTACCTGCCCCACCCAAAGGGTCACGGGGACTGCAGGTGATCGGGTGATTTGAGGGCCTAGAAGTGGGGCCCAGCGTGTAGCAGGAGCATAGCATTGCCGTTTCCCAACAGAGGTCTGATGCCAGCTCCAGAGAGGGAAGGGGAGGTGTTGGTGCCCAGGACTTTCTACCCAGATGTGACTCCACCCTGACCTTGAGGGGTGGCTTGAGGGGTGGCTTGAGGGGACCTTGCAGAGAGCAGGCTAGTGGAGGACATGGGGAGTGCTGAGTGAGTCCGAGAAGGAAGAGAAGACTGAACTGATGATGATGATGAGGTGCTATCTGGAAACAGGCGCAGTCTGTCATGCAGTTGCAGGGGCTGTGTTTTAGGTTTCTGGGGCTCTCTGCATGACTCTCCTAGAGAATCCCACCCTTTTTTGTACACCAGTAGCCACCCTTTGCATCCATGAAGCACACCCCAGGACCCCAAAGAACTCAGAGTCTTCTTTGCTGGGCTCACAGCCTGTGTTCTTGGTGTTTCAGATTAGATGACCCAGCTTGGATTGCTTTTCTGTAGCGCCTTCCCAGCTGGCTCTGCTGCAGCAGCTTTGCAAACTCCTGGACTGCAACTGAAAGACTTCATCTTTCTCTGGCCCTTGGCCCCCAGCATGCCATATTAAGCCTGAAGGCTATGCAAGGCTGGGTAAGCAACCAGTGGGAACTCAGGGCCCTTGGATTCTGGCCTGGTTTGACCACTTTCCTGGCTGCTATGGACCTAATCCCAAAGGAAGGACATGAGGATAACTTACTTCTGCCTTCTCTCCATCCCTCTGGAAAGCCTGTGTCCCTACTTCTAACCTAGAGCCCACCTGCAACAGAAAGCCCTCTCCCCAGCACCTAGCACAGCTCAGACTACAGGACAAGGAGGGGACCACAGGCCCCTCTCAGATGCTGACAGTCCTGTTCACACTCCTCAAGGTTCAGCAAGGAGGTCACCTCAGGACACAGGCCATGTGAACAAGGACGAGGGTTGGCAAGTCAGATTGAGGCAGTGGCTTGGGCTGATCAAAGTAACCTTACTGAAGGGGGAGGAGAGTGAGAAAGCCTCTGGGAATGGGGCCCAAGGACAGAAATGGTTTGCTTTGAAGATGGAGGCCCTGAAGTGAAGGAAGGGGGGTGCCAGTGGCAGAGGTGTGGGCTGAGGGTGAATTGGGAGGCTGGCTGGTCCTCCTAAGGGCAGGTGTGGGAGGCTCAGGGGCCCAAGAGATTTCTGGGCCTCAGGTGTGGGGGAGGAGAGGGAGGGTTGGATGAGGACGAAAAACAGCCAGGATACCCATAGGATTTTTCAAGCTTCTCCAGAACAGCAGATCTTTAGGTCAATGGCCCCACAGGCAGCTGGGGTGAGGCAAGAGCAGGTGTTTCACATGAGAGCAAGAAGCATCTAGAAGTCTCCACCCGCCCAGCCAGGAGACTCAGCTCGAGTCTAAGGGACTTCTTACCTTCTAAGACCTCAGCTCCACAGGTCCTATCCACTGCTGCACAGGACACTGGTGTGTGTATGTGTGCGTATGCATGTGCATATGTGTGTGTGCATGCATGCATGTGTGTGTGTACTTAGGAATGAAAGGTGTTGATTGTGGGGAGGGAAGAGAGTCATCCCCTGCCTGCTGCCCAGTGGGAAGAGAATGGTGCTGGTAGATACATCTTCATTCTAACTAGGAGGTGAGTGAGGATGCCTCTGAAACACTGTTCCATGAGCAGCTTGTATCTAGGCAGAGACACTAAGGTCGAGTCAGAGGCCTTTACCCTGTGGTATGTGAGCTATGTGAAAGCTGATGTCTCCCAGGAAGCCTGACCTATTCTTCCCCTGCCCTGGGAGCCTGCATAGGGTTCATCCAGTTCAGTCAGTGGCATTTCTCACTCTTCCTTCCCTCTCAGGATGTCTTCTCCCAGCTGGAGATGTCCCTGCATGAAGGTGGCACTCAGGGTAATAAAAACATATGTCCACACAAAGTTGTGCAAACTCTCATACACAAATGTTGAGCAACTTTATCTGCAATACTCACAAACTGGAAATAACCCAAGTATCCATCAACGTGCTTGGATAAACACATCCTGGTATATCCCTGCAATGGAACACTAGTCAGCAATTAAAAGGCATGAACTACTGATTCATGCAACAGCTTGGATGAAACTCAGAATAATTATGCTGAGTGAAAGAAACCAGGCCCAAAAACAGTACATGATGTATGATTCCATTCATATAAAAGTTCTAAAAACACAAGCTAATCCAAGATGATAGAAAGCAGAAAAGGGGACAGAGAGGGGGCTAGGAGATGTTGGAGGAAGGGACTACCAATGGGGGCATTTTTGGAGGGGACAGATATGACCATCATCTTCATTGTGGTGATGGTCACACAGGTATGCATCATTTGTGCCATGATTGAGCTCTACCTTGAGTAGATGTCACTCATTATATTTCAGTTATATCTTAATAGAGCTGCACCCCAAAAAGGTGGTAGTGTCCATCATGAGGATGGTGACCGTCGAGGATGATGATAAAGCTGAAGGAAAACTTGAGGGCAGGCCAACCTCAGGCATGAATGAGGCCATTGTTGACTAACAAGGGTTTAATATTTGCCTTTCCTTGTAAACTGTGGGGATGGAAAAGACCTCTGTCCCTAGAACCCTGCACAGTGTTCACATCACAGCAGGTTGGAAATGAATAGTTCATAGGGTCATCTTGGTGGTGACAGCAGTGTGATAAGTACTACAATGTAGAAACCCAGAGAGGCTAGTGGGGCACGGATGAATATCACTGCCTTGCAAGTCTAGTGGTCAAGCAGTACAAGAGAGCTTCTTGGAGAAGTCATGTCTAGACTGACACTGACAGGTAAGTGGGGGATAGATAGGCAAAGCAGGCTGGTCTGGGAAGGAGCATCCTGATGTAGGGACAATTTTGCTGTGGCTACAAATTTTAAGGATCCCCTACTGCTCAGTTCTCCCAGATTGACATTGGAAGCTCCTGGTGGTATCCTGCAGGTTTGCTTCATCTGTGAGCAACTCCTGGAAAGAGGACACAGTTAGACGGGACCTGAAAGCCTCCTGCTGTCTCGAGCCCTGGGCCCTTCTCTCTCTGCGGCCCCACTTCAGCTTTGGTCTAGGAGAATACCTGAGCTGGGAGGGATTGGGGAACTTACTGAAAAACTCACTGGAACTTACTCAAAGTCTCTGCCATCTCAAGTGTGTCTCTGGCACAAGAGTCATGTGCCTGCCCTGGTTCTAGCCAATCAAAAGTAGGGACAATGATGCACAGATATATGGAGATATCTCCAACCCCCGCCTGTCGCCCCCCTCACTGAAGACAGAGTTTGTGACTTTGAGAGGGCTGAAAGGTGGGCTTTCTCCCGGGCTGTGTTTGGAGTACCCCCTCAAACTTCTGCCCTGCAATGCTTGGGTATGAAGCAAGAGCGGAGAAGTAAACAAGGCTGATGGTGAGGCTGGAGATGTTGTTTCTGGAGAGAGGTCAGCCAGAAGACCTGAGCTGGCCCTGCTGGTCCCTGGGGACAACAGGAATGAAGCGGGAAGGATGCAGACTGTGCTAGGCTCTTCCTGACAGGGCAGACAAGCTGTGCTTCCCACACATGGGGTGGCCTTGGGCGGCATAGCCAAACCTGCCTGTGGGCTTGGGGTGAGCCAGAGTGGTGGCCCCTGATCTGGCGCAAGCTCACCTCCTGTGTGGCCACAGCCTCCCCAGCTCATGACTTGCCTTGAGCCACGCCTCAGCCTGGTTTTCGTAGGCTGCAACCTTGCACAGAGGCGGACCTTGCCACCCACCCTGAGGACTCACTGTCCTCAGCACTCTGTGACAGGAGCTATAGAGACCAGCTGTGCAAGGGCAAGGAGATCCCACGTGAGCGGTTTTGCCTTGACAGGCCACAGAACCTTGCCTTTCCCTCCACATTCACCATGGTTCCTGAATCATCCTTCCTTCCACGTGTCTTCCTGGTTTGAGACACTGTCTAAAGCTGTCACCCTGTGGAGTAGCACAGCTCTTCGTCACAGCTCTATGTATTCAACCCAAGTAGCCACCAGCATCATCCTGTGTGAATGGAACCTTGCCTCAGCTGGAGGAGCTCTTGTTTACATTCTTTTCGGAGTTTGTTGTCATTTTTGAAGCACTGGGGAGAAGCCGAGGGCCTCATGCATACTATGTAAGCACTCTTCCACTGACTTACATTTCCAACTTACTTTGCTAATTTTTAATTGGTGCCTATCTTCTGTGCCCAGGAGGGTTACAGTGCTCTACAGGGTTACTGTCGCACATTTTCTCCAACTTTCTGGTTGTTTTCTTAAATTAACTTTCAGGCTCCAGGGTGGTGGACCCTCGGAAACTGTAGCTAGAGAGATAGCTCACTTCTCAGCCACCCTCCACCTTCTGAGAATGGACCTATATTCCTCCTTGTCCAGACGTGCCTCAGTGTCCCCTCTGTGCTGCATCTCATGGGAGACTCGGCCTGCAGGAAAGTCCTCTATACCCTCCACAATGCCCCTCAATCCTGAGCCAGCATCATTCTTTTCTCACAGCAATTTCACGCATGCGCACAGGCAGCATATCCCAAACACCCAGGCCCTTACAAGGCTTATTCCATTCATGATTAGTCAGCGCCATGGTGGCCTTGTCTCTGCTGTGATCTTGAACAAGAGGGAGGAAAAAGGAAACGTCATGGTTACTGCTGCATCCCTCTCCATTCCAGGGACTCTGAGACCTGGGTGGAAGAATTAATCTAAATCTAAGGCTGGATTTCACCTGGACAGGATGAGGATGGGTGACTGGTTGCTGGTAGAAATCAAGCTTTACCTGAAATCAATCCCTCCCTTCCTCCAGCTTTATCCTCTGCTTCCTGGACAGCCCAGGGGCAAGAAGACCCCTCTTAAGTGGCTTTGTCTCCCTTGCTGCCTATTTGCAGATGCCTCCAGGGTGCAGGGCATGAAGGGAGCATAGGAGTATGATGAGTATCTATTGCAGACTCAACCTAATGTTGTGTGTGGCAAGAGCAAGCGAGTCCAGGAGGCGATGCATTTGAAGAGTAGGTGGCTCTGGAAAGTCTGGCATGTAGAATGGAAAGACTTGCAGGTCATCATGTCTTAAGCCCTCTCTGACAGACAGGGAGCCTGGGTTCGGCCAGTTCTGACATAGGATTTCTGAAAGCAAGGCCCTGGAGTTTCTGTTATCCAGGTCTGAGCATCAACCCCATTTCTCTGACCACTCTACACGTTCATGAACACATGCAAGCACATGTAATTCATTGACACCTCCATGACTTTAAGCTTATGAGAGTGACAAGTGATATATAAATATTGCATTCTTCTACTTGACACGAATTCATCACACCTTGAAGGATCCAATGAAGTCTGATACATCATAGCAAGGTGTAGACAGGGCCGCATGCTGAACTGGGGCTTTCCTTCTGAAGCACAGAAGGTGGGTGTGATTCCTTTAGCTAGATTTTAGGGAGGGAAGGAAGACGGATAAAGTGAAGGAAGGTTTGGGGAACATGGGTGGGCCCCACAGAAGAGAATGCTTGAATCTCAATGAGTGCCCAGCCACTGCTGGTAGCCCAGGAGGCTGAGAAATGGGAAATCCTACTCTCCATGCTACAAAGCCCAGTTGGTTAGACAAGGGAGGAGGTTGGCAGCTGAAGAAAAGTCTTGGACCAATTTTTTTCCACTGGTGAATCAGAGAAGCATGGTAACAGGAGCCAGGCTGGTCTGACCCCAGCCACCTCTGTGAGTCATAATGGAGGTGCCTGTGCTAATCTTAACCCCTCAGAGAGGCTTGTTAGGACTTGCCATCCAGTCTTGACCACCAAAATATTCTTGGAGCTGACATAGCTGTGGAAAATACTGGCCCATCAAGGCAGGGGCCAGAGGTAGAGCCAGGGTGGAGAGGAGATGGCCTGGGAGATAGGGTCAGCTCCCAGCTCACCCATGACCTTGAGCAAGTTTCAGTGAGGTGTTTGGGAAGACAAACCATCAGGTCCTCCCAACTGAGGCATTCTCCCAGACTAGGGCTGAGCTGGGGCCTCAGAGGGAAGAGACCAGGGCTTGAGACAACATGAGGCCTTCATCCCAAAAGTTACTTACCAGGGACCTCGTTCTTGAGGATGGACAGCTAGTGATAGAAATCTGGATTCTAGGGTCGGCTGCTGTGCTCGGCAGCACATTTACTAAAATAGGGTCAGCTGCACCCTGAATTAGCTGTGTGATTTTGGACAAATTGCTTCTGAAATCCTTTTTCTACACTAGAGGGATATAACTAGTGGTTTAAAGCACTGGACTCTGAAGTCAGACTTGCATGAGTTAGAATCTTGGTCCTAAACACAGTAGCTGAGTGTTCTGGAGCAAGTCATTTCCTTCACTAAGCTTCAGTTTTCTTGTTTATAAGATAGGGATAATAATAGTACTTTTCTCAGGGGATTCACATGAGTTTTAAGTGAGATAGCACATGTGAAATGCTTAGGCCAAGACCTGAAACAGTAAATGCTCAGTAAATCTCAGCTACTTTTTACCAGCCACTACCTCTGGGCCTCAATTATATTCCTGTAGAAAAAAGAGAGGATGGCAAGAATGATTTCTCTGTCCCGTTTTCCTTTACTCTGATCAGAGCCTTAGCCCTGTGTAGTTAATTCAGAGACTGGGGACTGTGGGGCCTGAGATGGAAATGAGCGGTGGACAAATCTGCAGGGCCATAGAGACGAGATCTGAGACGCAGCAGAGCAATTGCAGTTAAACAAACGTGAGTTCTGCGAAGGCTTGGTGTGGGAGCAGTTTCTGAAGCTCAGTCAGGTTCTGAAGCTTGGATCAGGGAGTCTAGAGGCCACCCCTGGGGGCTGCAGCCAAAGACCTGGATAGCTGGGCAGGAGCCTTACCAGGCCCCGATTCTCAGGTTTCTACCACATTCCCAGCAGAGGAATCTGCCTTTTCACAATTTTCCCCCAGGAAATCTTTTC